TTTCCCTAAGATCCAACCTGAGCCTGCCCTGGCACAGCTCCAGCCATTCCCTGGTGCTGTCCCTGGTCCCCCCAGAGCAGAGCTCAGTCCCTGCCCCTCCTCTGCCCCTGCCCAGGCAGTTGAACTGCAGTGAGGTCTCCCCTCAGTCTCCTCTTCTCCGACCTCCCCCTGGGATTGGGATCATCGCTCACTTGGATCATATCAGCCGTGGATTTCTCACCTGACTTTTCCTTTCTCCCAAACAGAGGTCCCAAAGCTTCTCTGGGCACCCTGTTCCAGTCCTGCACCACCTTCCCATTGACTTTGTTGTCCTGATATCCACACTGAACCTCCCTGATGTGAGCATCACCCTTCCCATGTCATCCAGCACCACCAAGAGTTGGACTCTGTGATCTTTTGTAGTGTCACTTCAATGTTCCTGTGCCTAAATCACTTAAATCACTGATTAATCCAATCTCTTTCACATTTGTGAGTGTTTCAAAACCAGTCCTGTAGAGGAGGTGGCTCCAGACGACCACACCACGCTCCACCAATTCAATTATAACTTAATAATAGTTCTACAACAATTATAATTAATCCAGCATTATGATGCCTTCTGGGTCTGGGAGAGATCTGGTCGCCACCAGCACCCTCCCAAAAGCCAAACCTGGTGGTTTCTTTGTTTTGCCTCGGTGTGATGCTGCTGGGTGTCACTCCAGGTGTGGGTTATTTAGGGTTCATTGGCAGACAGAAGACTTTTTTTTGCCTTCTGATTTGTCAGGGCAGTTTTTTTTTGGGAGGCCTGTCGTGCTCGGGCAGGGCTGACACGAGCCCTGAGTGACAGCTGAGCGTAGGAAAGTCATTAAAAATAATCATCTCTCGTGGTGTCAGTGGCTGTCATGGGAAAGGCTTTCACCCCCAAATTATCTTTTATTTAAGTTTCTGCTGTTGGTAAAGGAGGAGACACTTTGAGTCCGGAGCAAAGCTCGCTGTGTTTGCACAGCGCCGGCTTTTCACGCCAGAATTCCTTGGATTTAACCTCGGATTTAACCTCCCTGGCTTTGTGAGCACCACAGTTGAACCCCCCCCTTTTTTTTTGTTTTTTGCCTTTACAGCTCGTGCAGATTATTATAAACACGACCCATCTGGAGAAATCCTGCAAGTTCCTCGAGGAATTCATCACCAACATCACCAACGTGCTTCCGGAAACCGTGCACACGACGAAGCTCTACGGGACCACCACCTTCAAGGTGAGAAATCCAGGGGCTCCACCTCCAGGAGGAGCTGCTGGTGGGCAGTTGGAGAGCGTGGATTTGGAGTTTTAGGCAGCTGGGCTGAGCCAGAAGATGGTTTGGTCATATTTTGGGAAGTTTGTGCCGTCACTTTTGGGTTCCTTCTCAGTGTTGCTTTTGTCGAGATCCTGAGAGTTTGTAGCCTTGACTTACAGCCCTGATTATCTAAAGGATGATGATGATAATAATAATAATAATAATAATCATCATTATCATTAGGCTTTTGACCAAAAGCCTGATAATTTATTTATTTTTAAAATGAATTTTCATTTTGCTGTTCATGTCTGGCCATGAACCTCTCAACCCCAAGGGAGAACAGGCTTCCAGAGCTTTACATTTCTGTACCTTTGCACTCCTTTTAGCAGCATTCCCTAAAAATCGAGGCTGACAGGAACTCCCAGACTTCCCAGTCTTGAAATCCTACCCCAGGAGTGTTCACACACATACTTTGTGTGGAATCTTAAGGCCATGATGGGTCAAGTGTGGGGTGTTTGAATTTTGTCCCATGGGAACAGCAGGGAATTGGTTGGGTGAGCTTTGCCCTTGGGATAACTCAGCAGGAGACTAAGATCTGTCCTCGGGGAAGTCCATTCTGGCATCACCCACCTATTTGGCCTAAAGCTGAGTTTTCTGCCTTGTTTTGGCAGGGGGTCTCCTCTGTGGCCTCCTGCACCCCACACCTTTTGGTTTGGTGGGTCTCAACCCTTTTCCATACGGGATGTTCCTCTTCCATCCTCCACTAGATTTGTCCCGAGGTTGCTTCAGAGGCAGAATCCCCCTGGACCCGGTGGCACCTGTCCCACCAGCCTGACTGCCCTGAGGCTTCAGCAGCCTTGTGGGTGCTCCCTGAGCTTCGGGCTGTGCCACCTTTAGGCCTGAGAGGGAGGATTTGTGGTGTGGAGACCCCACCCCACGCAGCGTGTCCCTCGCAGGACGCCCGGCACGCGGCCGAGGAGGAGATCTACACCAACCTCAACCAGAAGATCGACCAGTTCCTGCAGCTGGCAGACTACGACTGGATGGCCCTGGAGCCGGGCAGCCGGGCCAGCGACTACCTGGTGGATCTCATCGGCTTCCTGCGCAGCACCTTCGCCGTGTTCACCCACCTCCCGGTAAGGCGCCGCCGCCAACTCCCTTCCTGTTCCGATCCAGGCATCCCACGGTGTCGTCGGAATTCCGGGTTGCTCAGACTCGATGGAGCGTGGTGGAAATGGGGCCTCGTGCTGCCGGTTCTGATGTAAAAAACAATAATCCAGTTTTAAAGTAACGCATATTTCACGTGTTCCCAAGAGTTGGGTTTCCTGAGAGTCTCCCCAGTTGTTTGCAGGTCTCTTTACACACAACTGAGGCACCATCACAGCCCACCGTGCACCAGGAGGGTCATCCTTCACTTCCCACCTGTATTTTTAGGGAAAGGTTCTTCCCCCAGAGGCTGGTTGGGCACTGCCCAGGCTCCCCAGGGCAGTGGGCACAGCCCCAAGGCTGCCAGAGCTCCAGGAGGGTTTGGCTGATCCTCTGGGGCACAGGGGGGGACTCCTGGGGCTGGGCCTGTGCAGGACTGGATGATCCCTGGGGGCCCCTTCCAGCTCAGCACATTCTGTGATTTTGGCTATTTTAACGTTCAGCTTGATGGCCATCCAGCATTTCTTTTTTTCAAGATATCCACTCTCTGAGTGTCTTATTTGAACTACAGATACATTTCCAAGTGTTTGTCAAGCCACTGGTGCCTTCCATCAAAATCCTGCTCCGTTGGAAGGCAGCCTGTGTTTCTTTCTTCTCCCCGCTGTCTAAAATACCCCCGTGTGTTTATGCTGTTGTTGCCATCAAAAATGTGGTTTGTGTTGCTTTTTGCACTTGGCTGAGTAGTGTCTTGTTGGGTAGGAAAAACAGAATCATCAGGGAGTTTCATTTTTGCTCAAAAAGCTTTTTTTTCCCCCCTCTTTAAATAAGATTTGTTCTGAGCTGTCTGGGTATACCCGGAGGAGGATCTGGGATCAGCAGGTATTTTGGAACAGCAAATCCACTGAACTCTGCTTTTAGTTGTTCTAAAAGCAAATTTCAGATCTTTTTTACTGGGCCTGTGATTTATTTGTTGTTCCTGGGTGCCCAGGATTGTGCCCACACTGGGCACACTGGGCATCTTTCATGAACTTGGGTATAAACAGGAAGAGAAGATTTAACAGTCCCCAGCGGTGGTTTTCTTCATCCTGCTTGTTTGTTCCCTGTGATTCCTCTTCTGGAAGGTTGTTCCAGCCCTCCAGAGCTGTTTTAGGAGGTGTTACAGCCCCAAAGTTGTGCTCCTGTCTTTGGCCATCCCATTCCCAATAGGAAGGTCCGGGAGCAGGATGGAGCTGAGGATTTGCTGTGGATGGAAAGGGAAATGGAAGTGGCTTTCCTGGTGTTGTTGGGGAGAAGGGGCTTCCTTAGCTCTGTTATCTCTGGAATAAACTGCTAAATAAAGTGTTGCCTCCTGTGCAGTGGGATTGGAAGGGCTTTTATCCATCTTCTCATCCAGGTTTGTTGCCAAAAAGTCCCCTCCACTGGCATCTGGGCAGTGTGGCTGAGCATGGCCTGGGTGTGGGGACCTTCCGGAGCCAGGAGGTGCTTGGAAATGGCTGGAGTTCTCCTCAGAAAAAGGGAGATGATGCTCCACAGGGGCGGAGACCACTCCCAGGAATCCTACTGGGAATGCTTAATGGGATTAGACAGGGAGATTGGTGTCTGCAGCGGAGCATGGAGCTCGACCAGCAGGAGAGATGAGGCCGGGGAGGGAGCCCATGGTGATGGATGAGGTTGGACCTGGAGCAATTTGTCTTCCTTAAATATTAATATTTCCTCTTGGAGTGAGTTGGGATTGTCTGGGGGGGTTGGGAGGACACTCATTGCTCTAAAAAGCACCGAGATGGATAGAATCATAGAACCACAGAATCATAGCATTAGCTGGGTTGGAAGGGACCTCCGAGATCATCAAGTCCAACCCTTGATCCAACCCCGCCGTGGTTCCCAGCCCATGGCACTGATGCCACATCCAGTCTCAGCTTAAAAACCTCCAGGGATGGAGAATCCACCCCTTCCCTGGGCAGCCCATTCCAATGGCTGAGCACCCTCTCTGGAGAGAAATTCTTCCTAATCTCCAACCTAAACCTCCCCTGGCACAGCTCAAGACCCAGCCCTCTTGTCTTGCTGATGGTTGCCTGGGAAAAGAGCCCAACCCCCAGCTGGCTCCCCCCTCCTGTCAGGGAGTTGCAGAGAGTGAGGAGGTCTCCCCTGAGCCTCCTCTTCTCCAGGCTGAGCCGCCCCAGCTCCCTCAGCCTCTCCTCCCAGCACTTGTGCTCCAGTCCCTTCCCCAGCCTCGTTGCTCTCCTCTGGACCTGCTCCAGCCCCTCCATGTCCTTCCTGAGCTGAGGGCCCAGAACTGGACACAGCACTCCAGGGGTGGCCTCACCAGCGCTGAGTCCAGGGGCAGAATCACTTCCCTGGACCTCTTGGCCACCCTGTTCCTGAGCCAGGCCAGGATCCATTGGCCCTCTTGTCCCCCTGGGCACACTCTGGCTCCTGTTCAGCTCCCTGTCTATCCCCACTCCCAGCTCCCTTCCTGCCTGGCTGCTCTCCAGCCCCTCTCCCCAGCCTGGAGCTGCTGGGGGTTGTTGTGGCCAAAGTGCAGGACCCAGCTGAGGAGAAGGCTCCTGGCAGCCCTGGGAGCCGGGGAGGTCCCTCAGGGAGATGCTGCCAAGGGCTGTGGGGAGCTGGGGGTCTCCTCCAAAGCCTTGTAGGAGAGGTGGCTCTGGGAATTTTTGATATATATTGGAATTTCTTCCTTCAGAGGAGTGTGGAGACGCCACCACTGCCTGTTATTGGTGGGTCCCTCCATCCCCTTGCAGGCTGTGGTGGGGAGGAACAAGCCAGGAAGAACCAGGGTGGACCTAAAAGGGCCTCCAGATCCTTTAGGGTCTCTGGTTCTTTGTCCTTTTAGGGTTCAAGGATCTTTTTCCAGTGGCTTATTTAGGAAGACATTGAAATTCCTGCCCTTTGCTGATGAAATGTGGGAAATAAGTTGTGTAGAAGCCCCCACGTGTCTAAAGCCAGGCAGGAAAATGATGGAGATGGTTGGGAAAGCACCAAAAATGTGGGATGAGCTTCAGCTGTGAAAGGAGAGAGTGAGAGGGGAGAAGGAACAGTCTCCATAAAAAGGGTGAATTACGACTCCAAGAGGATATTTCAGGATTGCTGGGGAAAGGTGGAGCTGTTTCTATACTGCTGATCCAAATCCAGCCCAAAATATGAGCAGTAGAGCTAATGATAGGATAAAAGATATATTTATTTTACTTTAATTTTACGTATTTTTATTTACTTCATTTTACTTTATTTTATTTTATTTTTTATTTTTTTATGTATTTTTATTTATTTTATTTACTTTATTTTACATTATTTTATTTTATGTATTGTTATTTATTTTATTTTGCTTTATTTTATTTTATGTATTTTTATGTATTTTATTTACTTTATTTTACTTTATTTTATGTATTTTTATTTACTTTAGTTTACTTTATTTTATTTTATGTATTTTTATTTACTTTTTAAATTTTATTTTATGCATTTTTATATATTTTTATTTCACTTTATTTTATTTTATGTATTTTTATTTCACTTTATTTAATTTATTTTATTTTTTGCATTTTTATGTATTTTTATTTACTTTATTTTACTTTATTTTATTTTGTTTTCTTTTTTTTTATTTTCTTTGATTTTATTTCATTTTTTAATTTTACTTTTTAAACTTTATTTTGTATTATATTATATTTTACTTTTTTTAAATTTCATTTCATTTTATTTCCTTTTATTTTTTTATAACACACAAATAATAAATCACTGTGGTGTTGGGATTTAAGAGGAGTTGCTTCCCTGCTGGAAATGAGTTTTCAGCCTGGTGCAGCTCTAAAATCCAGGATTTCCAGTGTCTCCTGGAGAAAAGCAAGTGCCCCATCCCTGGATGAGGAATCCTTGGAGCATCTTCTCCTTCCTTTCTGCAGCTCCATCCATCCCTTCCCGTTCTCATCTCCTGCTTTGGAGCTGCCACCACATTCCAGAGCTGATATTTGGGTACATTCCTGAATTTACACAATTTTTAACAAGGGAAAAGTGTTTTTCCTGGTGTTAGAAGCCGCAGTTTTTTTGGAAAGAAAGTGTCAGGAGCTGAGTAAGCGTCAGGAGCTGGAATTCCACCCGGAATTCCACCTTCACCTGCTGCTCAAAGGACCCCGGCCCGGGCACGTCGGTGGTTATGGCGCTAAAATTATCCCTCCCAAAAAGCTCCATCCTGGGATAAAACTAAACCCAAAACCCTGAGCCTGCAGAAATGCCCTCCCTGGGATGGGTGGGAGGAATCCCATTGTCCCAGTGGCAGGAAAACCTTCCTGGGGTCAAGGCTCCCACTCGCCCAGGGCAGGTCAAGTGGCCTTGGAAGATCCGTGTGACTCTGTTTTGGAGAGGGGGTGAGGAGGAGCAGAGGTGCTGAGTGAGCTGAAAGGCAGCTCCCAGCCAAGATTTGGGTCTTGTGTTTCCCTTTTGGGATGTGTGAATGGCTGAAATTTTCCTGGATTTATTAGGAATCCCAGAAAATAAACCCTGGGATGAGCTCAGTTGGTCGGAGCAGGGTGCTGATAACACCAGGGTTGGGGGTTCAATCTTTGTGTGGGACATTCACTTAAGAGTGGGACTCCATGGGTCCCTTCCAATTCCATATATTCTGTGATTCTGCAATGGTTGAGGGACCTCTGGAAGCCATGGAATAATTTTGGGAAGGGACCTTTAAAGGTCATCTGGTGCAACACCCCGTAATAAGCAGGGACATCTTTAACTAGATCAGATCCCTGTGTGGGCCATTCCCTTAAGAACTGGGCTCTCTGATCCTTGTGGGTCCCTTCCAGCTCAGAATGTTCCATGATTCTGTGATTCTCTAATGGTTGAAGGACCTCTGGAGGCCGTGGAATAATTTTGGGAAGAGAGTTTTAAAGGTCATCTGGTGCAACTCCCCATAATAGGCAGAGACATCTTCAATAAGAGAGATCCCCTTATGGGCTGTTCAGTTGAGAGTTGGACTCTCTGATCCTTGTGGTCCCTTCCAGGTCAGAATATTCCATGATTCTGTGATTCTGTAATGGTTGAAGGACCACTGGAGGCCACAGAATAATTTTGGGAAGGGACTTTTAAAGGTCATCTGGTGCAACTCCCCATAATAAGCAGAGACACCTTCAGCTAGATCAGATCCCCATATGGACCCTTCAGTTGGACTCTGATCCTTGTGGGTCCTTTCCAAGTCAGAATATTCCATGATTCTCATCACATCTGAGGTTGTTCAGAGCCCTGTCCAACTGGCCTTGAATTTTTCCAGGGATGGGGCATCCACCCACCTCTCTGAGCACCCAGGTCACCTGGTTCAAGCAGCAAAAAAACGACCCATCCCAAAATCCCGGCTCGTGGAGCTGCCTGAAGAGCCTCCTCTTCCTCTGGAGTTCGAGCAGGAACTGCCATCCCTAATTTTTCCTTTAGAGCATCAAGAGTAGACCTTGTGGGAGGATGATGAGAACCACTAAGTTGTTGGGAATTCCTGGAATTCATTTGCATTTTGCAGCGTTGCTCCGGGATGGTGCCGGGCACGTCGGTGGGTACAGCGTGTGCTGGGGGGGGGGTGTGGGGGCAGGAAAAGTTCACGGTGAAGTTCCCGGGGTTTCGGGATGCATTCCAGGGCTGCATGGAATTGTCATGGTGGTTTAGAGCCACAATTTGAAAATGCTCCTCTAAGTGCCCGAAACAGTCTCAAAGCAAATAAAAGCGCTGATGGAAATCAAAGCATAATTAACATTTTGGCTTTCCAGGCCGACCTCTTCCTGAGTTAACCAGGGAGAGTCAGTTACTGCTGCTGTGGAGCTTTATTAATATGGGATGCTCGGGGCTCCTTTAAAAGAAAATACTCGGTTTTTTTAAAGGGGAGAAAAAAAATTGAGTTAAAAACCCCCCAAGTATTTCAGGAGAAAGAGGGGGGAAAAAAAAAAAAGGTGGTTTCTGGTTTTCAGCAAGCACGGCAGGGCCACGGCCTCCAAAAATGAACATTTCCAGCCTGATACTTTGAAAAGAATGACTGAAAAAGCCCTTTGTCTTTGATGGCTGATTGTTGTTTTTATTTCTTGTTAGACAAGTTAATGTAAATCGCATTGACAGGGCTACTCCAAACACACTGATTTGTTGACATTAAGCTCCTCAGAGATGGAGGGTTGTGTCAACACCTCCCGGGAACTGTCAGGTTAACAAAGCAAGGATGTTTTCCTGGGGGAGGGGAGCGGGGCTGAGGGGAAGGGGGGGCGAGGGGGGTGTTTTGTTTTTATTTTAAGTTTCCTTTAATCCTCTGTTAGTCTTGTATCTCGATAACCTCCTTTGGAAGGTAATCAGGGCAGGTCAAGAGGTGATGCTGACCCGGGAAGGGGAAGCAATCTTTCAGCGATCGACCGAGCTCCAACCTCTGCCGTCCGGAGCAGTTCAGTGGGAACTCTCCAAAGGGCTTTTTTTTTTCCTTTTTTCCTCCCCTTTCTTCCCCCCCCCTATTTTTTTCCCCCTTTTCTGCTTATTTTTGCCAGATGGCAGGCACAGATTTCAGCTGGAGCCACGAGTTTTTTCGCCTTCTCTTGGCACCTCTTCCCCGCTCGCTCGCGAACGCGCCGACCCCGGCAGCTCTCTTGCCCTGGTAGAAAGAGCTCTGCGAGTGTTTATTTTCTTTTTCGACAGAACGATTACCTATGTTTTTATTTTAAAAAGTCAAATCCCCCTGTAATATTTATAAGCCCGGGCACCGTGTGTGGAGGTGAAATGCCTTGAACTTTGCACCAACCGCAGCCTCGACCACGTTGGGAGGGACCCAAGTGGAAAATAACCGTCATGAAAACGTGGTGTGAGCACCAAAGTCACCTTCTTTGGGTTTGCACAAGTCCTGGCTGCGCTTAAATAAGGTCCCTTTGCCCTTGGGAGGGCTGAGCGAGTTTTTATGGAGCTGCTCCCGGCTGTCACTCACTAGGGTTTGACATCCATCACTTCCAGGTGGGAGAGCCGAGGCACGGGAACGTGTGCTGGCAGGGAATGGAGGAAGGCTGGAGAAGGGACTTTGGACAAGGGATGGACTGACAGGACACAGGGAATGGCTTCCCACTGCCAGAGGGCAGGGATAGATGGAATATTGGGAAGGAATTGCTGGCTGGGAGGGTGGTGAGACCCTGGCCCAGGTTGCCCAGAGAAGCTGTGGATGTCAGTGTTCAAGACCAGGTTGGACGGGACTTGGAGCAACCTGGGCTGGTGGAAGGTGTCCCTGCCACGTCAAGGGGTGTAACCAGATGGTCTTTCAGATCCCTCCCAACCCAAACCATTCCATGATACTTAAAACTACTCTCATGGTCCTTTATTTTCCTCCTCGCCCTCCTTAACCCAGGTCGAACGGGCCCGTATTTTGCTTTCTTAATAACTTTGCCAACTGCTGCTACAAAGGGACCTCAAAAATGACCACTGTGAACCTTTCTGCCTTTCTCCTGTTGCTTTGCTTCTCTTCTGCCTTTGACTTTGACCTCCCTGTGTTGTCCTCTGTAGGGGGAGGTAGATGCCCACTCTACCATGTCGGTGAGTACAAGGCTTGTGTGTCGTGCGCGTCTGGTCTGCTCTGCTCTCACCTCCGGTGTTGGGGGGGGGAATTGAACCAGAAAAGGTCCTTCCTCACAGAAAAGAGGAAAGGAAAAGAGTGATTAAAAGTTTAAATCAATAGGATTAATGATTGTGTGATCCTGTGATAAAGAAGAGAGCAAGGGGAGGGGTTTCCTTCCCAACGGGTCGCCCACAAATGTGTTGTCGCAGTGGCATCGCTAAATTGCTGATTTTAGAACATTTAAATGGCTCCTTTTATCCCCTTAAATTTGCAGGGGATTAAGGGAAATGCCTGTTATTAGGGAAAGCATGATGGAGACCTTCACCCTCTGCTTGCAAGTGAAAAGGTGTTTGTAAAATCCCGCCTGTATTCTGTGCAGAGAAATCCTCCCTGGGAATTCCAGCCTGATGTTCCTCCTGGTCTAAGTGCTCCAACCTGGAGCTTGGACCACTAAGCCTTCCCTTGGACTGGAGTGCGAGGACAGGGCTTGGAGCAACCTCCTCTAGTGGAAGGTGTCCCTGCCCATGGCAGGGGGGTGGAACTAAATGATCTTTAAGGCCCCCTTCCACCCCAAACCATTCCATGATTCTATGATTTTATCCCAAAGCCACTGTGAATCCTTGACCTTTACTCCCTCCTTGTGTGGATCAGGGTGATCAGCACCAAAAAAAAACAGTGAAGGAGACCTTTAGGACCAACCTTCTGGTTCAACAACCCCCTGTAATCGTCATTTCTGCTTGTTCCATGTGCGGGAGGAAAATCCTCGCGGCATTTCTACGGATAGATCGCAAACAAGGTGCTCCTGAGCCACCTTGTTTCCTCTATTCCCATGGCTGCAAACCAAGGCACGTGTGAGCAAAGCCTGCCTTGGATTTTAGTCGGTGTGAGATGAGCCTCAATCCCAGCTTCTGCTTCCCAGCCTTTAGCCCCTGCTCTCCACTGGAACTGCCTTGGAAACATTGATATTCCACGCCACAGCTGGATGCTTGTCCCCCTTTTTCCTGGAAACTAAGCCTGGAGCATTTACAGGCTCTGGGCACCCGGGGGGTTCTAAGCCAACATCGAGGGCTCAAATCAACACCAGCTTCTGGGAAGAAAGAGCCTTGTTAAAGCAGTTTGGGGCCGGCTCCCATCAAAGCTGGGAGGGTTGGAGCCAGGGAACAGGCAGGGATGCTCCAGGAATCCCCTGTGGTGAGGCTGATGGGTCAGGAGTTCCCAGGATCCCCCTTTTGACCCCCTCCAAAAGCCCCGACCCTGCTCTCTTGCCCACCAGGACCTCTGCCCTGCAGAACCCCCACATCATTCTTCCATCCCAGTCTCACCCCTTCCCAGCCCCAGCTCTTTCCCTCTCCTCCCCTCCACAATTTGGGGCGCCCCCCTCCAGTGTCCATGTTTCCCCCCAAGCCCTATGACCCCCCCAAAACTGAGGTCTTTCCACCCTCCCCATCTCTTCCTCCAGCCTCTCATCCTCACCCCGGGGCCACCCCTTGCTCTCCTCCCCTGGTGCTCTGGGGAGCCCCCAAGTGCCCTTTGACCTCCCACCCCTCCAATTCACAGTGCCTCTCCAAATCCTATGCCCCATAAGCCCCATAGACCCTGTGGACCCCATAGGCCTTATAGACCCTATATACCCCATAGGCCCCATTGGCTTCATTAGCCCCATAGGCCCCAATAAGCCTCATATACCCCACAGGCCCCATAGGGCTCACTAACCTATAGACCCCATATGCCCTATAGACCCCATACACCCCACAGGCCCCATAGGCCTCACTAGCCCCATAGACCTTATACATCCCATAGTCCTTATAGACCCTATACACCCCATAGGCCTTATAGACCCTATATACCCCATAGACCCCATTGGCTTCACTAGCCCCATAGGCCCCATAGGCCTCACTAGCCCCATAGTCCCCATGTACCCCATAGGCCTTATAGGCCTCACTAGCCCCATAGTCCCCATATACCCCATAGGCCTTATAGGCCTCACTAGCCCCATAGTCCCCATGTACCCCATAAATGCCCTAGGCTTCACTAACCCTAAAGGCCCCATAGGCCTCACTAGCCCTATAGGGAGGGGGGCCCATGGGCCTTGTAGACCTCATGCACCCCATAGGCCCCATAGTCCCCATATACCCCACAGGCCCCATAGGCTTCAGTAGCCCTAAAGGCCCCATTACACCCCATAGGCCTCATAGACCCCATACACCCTATAGGCCTCACCAACCCCATAGACCCCCTATACCACATAGACCCCATACACCCCACAGGCCCTAAATGCCTCATAGGCCTGACAGGTTGGGCTGAAAAGGGTCGTCAACCCCCCCAGGACCCCGAACTGGGGGTGAAAAGATTCCCTGCCTTTCCAGGAGCGGTGTTGGGTGTCACCCACCCTCCGTGGTGTCCTCAGGGCGCAGCCTCCGAGGGAGAGACTCAAAGAGCTCTCCCGCCTCTGGCTTTTCCAGAATTCCAGCCATTTCGAAGCCAGATGTATTTATTCCTTTAATTGAATCCAGTGCCTAGACAGCTCTGGAGTCAGCTTCCTACAGAGAGGGGGGCTTTGCTTTCATTAAGGTAAATCAATGGAAAATAATACCTGGAGCTCCCCTGGAAAGGGTCAGGGATGGAGTAATCCCGTTACATGGCGGGATTTTGCCGGGCTGCTCTTACTTGGGTTTGTTCTTTACTGCCACAGAGTCGTAATTTTCCTCGTCACCCTCCTAATTTTCAGTCCTTTTAGGTAGTTGGGATTAATTGGTGGGAGTAAATCGCCGATCTGCGTGTCTGCAAGAGGTGGAAAACTAAAAACTGGATCGCACAAAGCAGCAGGACGAGGGAAGGATTATAAGGGTTTAACGTGGGAAGGAGTTGTGGCCAATCCTGGAAGTTTCTTGGTGTTGTAGGTACAGATGTGCGTTAAAAAAAGCGAATTTCCCGGATGTGGACATGGACAGGGCACGAGCAGCATCCCAAATCCTCCCTGGATGGTCCTCAGGGGGTTTCCTCTGCTCTCCAGAGGGGGTCCAAGTCTTTTAAGGGGTGGCTTGCCTTGAAAGTTGGGCAAAATTCCCTTAAAACGCGGGTGCTTTGAGGGGGAGAAGATGGACTGGAGCAGGGCTTTCCTGGTGTTCTCAAGTGCCTCCAAAATCCCAAATGCTTACCAAAACGAAGGGGTGGGAATGAGGACTGGTGGTTGCTTTAAGGCAAGGAGCAGAGTGTTCAAATCCCATGGATTTAGCGGGGTTGGCTGGGGGAACGCTGACCTCTGATTAACCCGGGAGCGCCGCTTAAGCTGAGTCTGGGTAAGCCAAGTTATCCTGTAATTACATGGTTTCTTGTCTGCTTTCAGCACTTGGAAAATTAATTGAAGCTCAAATGCCCAGTCCCATAAATCCTCGAAACCAGGGTGTTCACGCTTCCCTGGGCATTGCTTCCCTCTGTGGGGTCACCTTGGCATGTTTGGCTTGGATTTTTAGTTCCCAAACTTGGATTTTTTAAGCTGTTTGACGCTTGTTTTTTTTATGCGCCTCCATCCACCGAGAAGGAGATGTTGTGGGATGGGGGATTTGGCAAAAATCCATCCTTTGGAGTAAGGAATCCAAATATTCCTTCTCCTTCCTCGGCCTGTACCTTCCAAAAATCCTACCTGAAGATAAAGTTTGGGTTAGTTTGGGGTTTTTTTATACTTTAGGGAATTTAAGTGAAATAATAGACTTTCTGCTTTCCTCTGGTTCCATCCACTGGCTCTTCCGAGGCTCTTAAGTTGGGAATGTTCAAAGGAACGTCGATGAACAGCAAATCTTCTTCTAAACCCTCCACTACCTCCTCCTTAAAAGAGGAGACCTCCCTGCCTGGGAGGAGACCCCCCTGCCCTAGAGGAACCCAAATTCAAGTGCAATGTCCTTTGGAGTCCCTGTGCAGGGATCACTTGGAATGAGGGTTCTTGGAGCAGCGTTGGGTGCTTGGGATCATCGTTCAGAGCGCTGTTGAGTGTCGTTGGCGTGGTTGAAGGACACCAAATCCACCATCACAGGTGTCTTTCCACAGAGCTATGTTCTCCCTGGATATTCCAGCCTTGGTTGGATGTAATAGCAACAGAGGAAAAGCCTTGAAAAGAGCAAATCCTTATGGATTTCTCGTGGTCTCCGGGGTCCGTCTCCACTGTGTTTCACGAAGGGCTCTAAATAAGGAGAACCCGGGGGGGGTTAATTAAAAACCAAAGTATCACTGATTCCTACAGCTTTCCCCATCCATCTCTCCGTTTCTTCCATCTTCTCCCTGTTCTCTAAAGCATAACACCTAAATATTGAAAATCCAACACGTGATTTATTTTTTGGGATAAGGTCAAAGATTCCGACGCCGCTTGTGTTGGTCACTCATGGATCGGGTCTGCTTGGAACGTGGAAAATCTGCTGGATGGAGCTTTGATGGCTCATGGAGTGGGTGGTTTGGGTTTTTTTTATTTTTTGGTGTCTTGATCTCATCCTTTTCTCCAGTCTGCTCCACATCTGGCCCTCAAGCCGCGTGCTGGTTGCGTTTCCCCCCCGGCATCCGTACGTCACGCCGACGTTCCCTCGGCATCCCGGCCAGCAGGAATCTGCGTAAATGGGGAATCTGGAGCATCCCTGTGTGTGTGAAGGGTGAGGAACCCCCGGTGTCAGCGTCCCGGGGGACGGGTACCGCGCTCCAAGCCTGGGGATCCTTTCCCTTTTCTACAACGTCAAATTATAATTATAAAATTATCCGGGAAAGATGATCCCATTCCCTCTCTTTCAAGTCTTCCCGCTGCCATGGTTGGCAGATGCTTTGCCCCGATAAATCAGCTGAAAGAAACGTGGCTCCCGCTTCTTCCTACGTTTAGGGGGGGAAGAAATAATAATATAAAAAAAATATAAATCTGTGTTTAATCAACTTTTTGTTTCCAAAATGGCAGCTGCTTTGTATTTAATGGAAAATCAAGGCTCTTCCCAATGGAAAGAATGTTATTCCCAAAGCGAAGACAAAAGAAAATAAAAGCCACAAAAGAGGAGGATGAAATATGTCCATTTTTTTT